AATGTTCTATCGTTGTTGATCTAAAGTACATAGTTAGAGTAGTTTCGAGAAGAAGAGAAAGTGATTTACGATTTTCTTTAAAGAGCCAAGATTGCTCCGAGACGGATGACGAATTCTGTTATTCTCGCGGAAAATATGGCTAGATAAACAGATGGTTACCGTGCACAAATAGGTTTACGTGCAGGGCTACCATTGTCTGATTTTAGATAACGCTCCCCGGGAAGTTATCCTATGCGTTTTAAGTGCAACGTGGCGCCTGTTTTCTAAAATGAAATTGTTAGTCAGTCTCAGATGACAAAGCCTAGATTTTCTTGCATGACCTCGGTGCATTTATAATGTCTTTTGTAATCTTGTCTCTTTTAGAGCCTACATTAAGATTGTTATTTCTTCCGGGTTGATTGGCATTTACGACTTTTCGCGAAGGCTGTCCGGTCCTTTTTTTCAATTCTGTCAGACCGTTATCCGAAGACTCCGCTCGAGTCTCGTAGACGCCAACCATAGTCGCGACGTGGAGCCGAAGAAAAAAAATCGTGGCGTCTGTAGGACGTAACACATATTTTAAATATATACGTACAGGGTGCTTCCGCAACATACACATCAATAAATCGGATTGCCTATCTGCCTATCGACAGAGGCATGTGTTACCGGTGCAGAATAAGATTAGATTGTAAGAGAGAATCCGTGGGAAATAATGCAAGAGAAATTGAATTTTACCATTCTGGTATGTATAAAATTTAATAATATGTATTTAACAATACAAATAATATCTGGCTTAATCTAACATAAATGAAATTTAATAAATATTTAAAATTATATAATTATAAATATTTATAATTACAAAACAAATATATTTTTTTAATGTTTATATAATAAATATTTGCTGTATTACTGTAACCGGCATTTTTTTAACGCAATTCTGCACATAAAATATCTTTCTTGCTAGATCATAAGGGGAGTGATCTCTGAAAACGAGTTACAAATTCTATTTTTAAAAATTTATTTTCCAGAAATTGATATTTTAGTTTGGAAGAAAGTATTTACGCAAATAAAGCTTGTTTCTTTTATAGAACATGCATGGACCTGCTGGATTTAAGATTATCTATTAGTTTTCATTTAAAAAAAAAATCTTTCACAAAGGTAGTAAAAAAAATCGTAGTCTGAATATCATCCTAAAATTTTTTAGCACAAAATGCAGTCACTGTGTTTTAAATAATTTAGTATATTATTGACGACGCGAGTTGATAAATGGTAACAATGTGTCTGGTATATTATAAAATAATAAAAGAATAGAAAATTTAAACAAACTTATGTGATCAATAACCCATTCATAAAAATTTAAACGTCATGGCATATCACCAAGTATAAATTTGTGTGTTGTATGCCGTTTGAATGGGTGCTAACCCAACGAATGTTTAATTATTTTGTAAATCGTAACATGATTTATGTTCAAATCTGTGGCAATCGCTCTTGTGCTCGTATGAAGATTTGCCTCAATAGTCTGTTGAACAGTATTAATTGGCTTCTTTGTAGAACATGGATCGGCTTTCTTGATTTATAGAATTGCCCATGTGTTTCTAATCGTTGGTAAAGATGATGATAAAAACCGTGGTCTGAGTATCGTCTGGAAACCTTTGAGCGTAAAGTGCAGTCGCTTGATTTTTTCGAAGTCGTACATGATTCTTATTTACTCATCGTAAATAAGAATCATGTCTGTCAATTCTTTAAATGAATAATGATTTCGTTCCATTGTGTTATTTTTTAATGCGTTGTAATCTCTGTGACTTACGCCAACTTCTATCTAAAATTATTCGAATGCAGTTAACGAACATGATTCTTATCTATTGAGTAGAGAAAATCAAACACAGTGACTGCATTTTGTGCTAAAAAATTTTAGGGTGATATCCCAGTCAGATTTCTTTCATTACCTCTGTGAAAAATGTTTTTTTATGAAAACAAATAGATAATCTTAAATCTAGTAGATCCATCCATGTTCGTATGTAGCAGATGTTCTGTAAAAGAAACAAGCTTTATTTGCATAAGTATCTTCTTACAAACTAAAATATCAATGTCTGCTGGAAAATAAATTTTTAAAAATAGAATTTGTAACCCGTTTTCAGAAATCATTCCCTTTATGATCTAGCAAGAAAAACTATTTTATGTGCAGAATTATGTTAAAAAAATGTCTATCACAGCAAATATTTATTATATAGATATTTTAAGAAAAAAATATTTGTTTTGTAATTATAAATATTTATAATTATATAATTTTAAATATTTATTAAATTTCATTTATGTTAGATTAAGTCAGCTATTATTTGTATTATTAAATATATATTTCATATCATATTATTAAATTTTACACTATATCAGAATGATAAAATTCAATTTCTCTTGCATCATTCCCTACCGAACTCTCTCTTGCAATCTAATCTTATTCTGTATTACCGGTAACATATGCCCCTGTGAATAGACAGATAGACAACCCAATTTACTGATGTGTATGTTGCGGAAGCACCCTGTATATATCAAGAGAAAATATAATATAAAATTAATATAATAATAATGCACATAGATTTTGGCAAAATGAAATGGCAAAATAAAATAATAATGCCAAGAAGAAACAAAAAAATTAGTGCTAATTATATAGTATATGGAAGATGGATAATTCTGCGCATTTCAAAATGCTTGCGCGCAGTTGCCTGCCGCAACTTGACTCGGTATAAAATATGATTACTTCAATAATTCTTAATCAAACTTAATAAATAACATCTCAGATGCACATAATAACATATCTTATAATAATAACGTATGCAACTTTAAACAAACAATTTAAAAATACGAACTTACCATGTTATTTTCTGAATGCTAAAATAACAAGAAAAGATGTGATTTCACTTTTATGTATTTCTCTGGCTAGCAATGTATTTATGTTGTATCTTTTGTAGTTATATCTTAAGAGGACGACTTTCTGCGTAAAAATTTCATCACTGGTGATGTTTTCATCTATTGGAAAAATACCAAACCAAGGTGGCACAATTCCCCCACTTTCCCCTACTTTGTATCCATTCAAGACTTCTTATCTATCACAAGTGATAATAGGTTATTCAATTTTCATTCAAAATTGTTATATCGAAAAGTTATACCTTAATTAACTAAAGTATTATAAAAAATTTAAAGATGTAACAGAACAAAAAAAAATTAAATAAAAAATTTAATTTAAATAAAAAATTTTCACGTAAAAACACTTGGCGTCGGTAGATTTTCAAATATGATAAATGTAATATATTAAAAACGAGAATAATTTAGATCAAGCCTGTCCAATTTGAGTTCGAGAATCAAAATGCAAAGTCATCAGCGCAAAAAAATTCAATGTGGATGATTTCGGGAACTATAAAGTGTTGATTGATATGCATCCAAGTAACGGTTATCAATATTTTATAATTTTAAAATCTTCTTACATCGAATTTGTTTACATCGATGGTTGTGCGTTTTTTTGGCTCCGGAGTTCAAATTGGATAGGTCTGATTTAAATAAAATAAGAAGATGAATGAAAATTTATGAGGCAAAAGTAAAAATAATCAACGTGTACATTCGAACAAGTAATACCACCACATGTGTTTTCAACATTCGAGCAAGTAATACCACCATATATGTTTTTTGATAACACATGTATATGTACAAGTCATACAAACATGCGTATTCTAAATAGATATAAAATATATCTCAGGGTAAAATAGAGCTTATTTGATATTTATTTAGTATAAATTTGATTGCGTGTAATACACACATCTGTATTTCTTACAGAAGTACAGGTTCTAAACTTGGTGAGAAATAGATTGTATTTTTTTAATGAGATATACTATAATTTAAGTTGTAATTCTTAATCAATTCGTGCATGATTTGAATTGAGATGACAATACCTTTTTTTAAAAAGGTAAATGTATACTGATATCTCATGCATTTTGTAGTGTATAGATTAATCTTGAATAATGTTAAGATACTCAAATTCTCTCTCTCATATAAGATCACAATTAGAGTCCAGTTGCAAAATCGCGGTTAACTCTCAACCGAAGTTCAACTTGTTCATTTCTTTTTCATTCTTAGGATTGGAAAGAGATGAGAAATGAATTTAATTTTGGTTAAGGGTTAAGTATGAGTTGTGGAACTGGGCCTAAATGCCATATTATGCAAACTGTTTCTTAAATTGTAATAAATATTTTGTTATAAATATTTTAACTTGCATTGCATAAATTAATTATTTAAGATACATTAAAAAAATTACACTTGATATGAAAGCGTATCGTTATGTGCAATTTGATAATTTCAAAATAAACTATTTCTTAGCAATAAACAGCTTTTACAAACTTTATCAACTTTATTATCACAGAAAAGAAATGAAAACCTGTAAAACGCTTCAATTTTTACCTAAATGAAATATATAATTAATATTGTCACAAACGAGAAATGCGAATTATTTTTTAAATAGTTTATTCTGCCTATAAAGGTTTTGAACCTAAAGATAATTATTGCATAAAGATAATTATTGATGAAATTACAAAATGAACTGGATTGTAGATCACAAAATTAATCGCTCAGCTAAAGTATGAAGTATTTATTGTAACAGTATCCTCCGCGTCCACCGCAGGATTGAATAGTTATTATACTTATAATTAAAAAATCACAAATTTAATAATGTCGAAATATTTACATTAATAATCGTGAATTTTTATTAATTGTCTTTAACGTCATCATTCTTCAATTATCCCCGGGCCCTCGAGGCCCTATTAATAGTCACGAAAATTTGCTCAGGACCGACGGTTTTATATAGTATCTTGTCGGTGCCATAATGTAAGTCGCAGATTAAGCGCTAGATGTAAACTAAATCATATTTAAAAGGCGCAAACCACCACTGAACTTCAAAGGAAGATGTGTAAACGAATTTATCGTTATAACAAATTATTTTGTGATTAATATATTACAGTTTTCTTTTTGTATTTCAGAACGAAGATCTCAGGAAAAGCAAACGAAATGGAGCTAGCGACCCTAAGGTAGAACGCCTCAAAGAACTCCTTCGCAGTATATCTCAGCCTTCAGGTTCGCTGCCTGGTTATCGAAAAAAATTGAAATGACTCACGTTGTCAAGATCATGACTCTGAGTGATCATCGAGCAGTTTCAGCAAGCGATCGTTACTCACTAAAAAAATATTAAAATTAAAATGAACAATTCACCTCCGCTGACTTTTTTTACCCTTCCACACATTACGAAGGTCATCATACCGAACAACCTTCGGAAGGTTGTAGCAGTAACCTCACGTCTTACAAACTTATAAAAAAAAAAATAAAATGATCCTGGCTCATATTGTCAAGATCACGACCCTGAGTGATCATCAAACATTTTCAGCAGGCGATAGTTGTTCATTAAGGAGATATTAAAATTAAAATGAACAGTTCACCTCCACTGACCTTGGCCCTCCCACACATTACGATGATCATCACACCGAACAACCTTCGAGAAGTTGTAGCACTTACTCATCACGCGTTACGAAGTTGTAAAAAAAAAATTAAAATGACCTCGACCTATATTGTCAAAGTCTCTGATGAGACTTTGAGAGTGATCATCGGACACTTTCAGCAGTCGACCGTTGATTGTTAAGAAGATATTAAAATTAAAATGAACAATTGACCTTCCCAGATATTATAAAGGTCATAATTTTGAGTGACCATCGGACAGTTCCATCAGTCGATCTTTTATCGTTAAGGAGTTATTAAAAAGTAAAGTAAAAAGGTTGAAATCGCCATGTGTCGACTGAAGTTCGAGACGTAATCCATGGGCCAGGCAGACGTGGACGTTGACGACGTTTCTTAAAATTTCGTAAAATTCAACAACATTTAGAACTATCTCCACTCTTAAAACAATTAGAAAAAAAATTAATGCACTTTCATTACACACAATTTACATTACAATTCGGATACAAACTATCGATTGACCATGCATAGAATTTGATCGATATAGCGATCATTGAGATATAATAATCTCGTAATCTCAGACAACTCATCACTTCGCGTAAATATACCCGGCAATGTCTCGCTCTAAGAACGCTTTGCGTTCCCTTAGCGCCGAGCCACTACCGTGTTTCATGATATATTTAGTAGAGGATTATGTGATAAATTCAAAATAAATAAAGACAAACTGGTAATCAATATTGTTATCATTACGTAATAAATATACAGGATGTTAAACATTTTAAATAACTTTTAATAACTTTAATAATGTTAAATTGTTTATTTGATTTTAACAAAAGATCTGTTCTTTATTTCTGTACATCTGAATTGGTGCACACCATGCAATAAGTTGAAGTGAAACAAATATACATTTGTTTTGCTTTAACCACCGACGAGATATTATTAAAAACTGTCAACCCTGGGCAAATTTTCGGCGGTATAAAAAATCCCAACTCTGCTGCAAATTCCTATGGGGAATTTTCCTATGGAAAATATATTTTTTCTAATTTGCCTAATTATGGATACCCATAATAAATTTGACAAGTCCTAATGGGAAGAGGCTCTTATCTTGCTATAAATTCCCATAGATGTTTTCATGGGTTCCTATATAGGACTATAAGGAGCTGTGTACAATGAAAGGAATAGGAAACAAGAAACAGAGAATAAGAATTTCAACCTATCAAAAAACTGTATATTCCACAATACATGATTTCTGGTAGAATGAAATTCTTATTCTCTGTTTCCTATTCCTTATTTCTTTCATTACGCAGCTTTTAAGATTCTGTATAGCAGCTTATATAGTGTAAACAATTGATGACAACAGAGAAAAATATCAGGGCGCTCCTCGTCTCGACTCAGGCCTGGTCTCTCCTCCGAGTTGCTGAACTTCCGTCCTGCCCTATTGAGCCCTACAGCTCTGACGCTTACAGCTTCTCTGTTGTGCCTATTTCTAAATTTCTTACAATTGGTATTTATAGGATTTACGTAGCATGTATATATAGAGTAATAGGAAATTTTTCTATAGGTTTTTAGATAGGAATCTATGGCATCAATCTATGAAAAAAGGTTCCTAGGATCGCATGGAAAAAAGAATGATGTGCACGTTGATGCAATCGGATCTAAATGATAAACAGGATGTCTCGATTTGGGATTATTTTCGTGTGCAAATAAAATAGATTAAACTGAGTTGAAAAATCCTGTATCATTTTGCAATTTTCATAATAATTAGTTTTTAAAAATTGCCGAATAAGCGGGTAAAATCGACGCATAAGACAATTTTAAGATATTTTTCAGAATTCTTTATGATATATTTTAAATATATTTTTTCAAAGATATCTTAAAGATATCTTAAAGTTGTCTCATGATTTTAGACATGCTCATTGGGTAATAATTGCAAAATGATAGAGGACCTTCCGATTCAGTTTAATCCGCTCTATCTGCATAAAAATAGTCACAAATATTTTGAGACATCCTGTATAGTCCCTATAATGTACATATTAGAGTGTGTACACAAAATGCTATAACAGCCGACTGATGTATTTCATGTAAAAATCTAAGATAATTTTCCCATAACTTCAAAAATTGAAGGTCACGTAATATAAACAAGATGTTTAGTGACTCAAAAAAGTTATGAGTATATATTTTCCTGACAGATTTTTTTTCACCCAACGTGAAATGTACCTCGTTTATTAACTATTATCATTTTAGTTTTTGGGAGTTTACGAATTATTCTCTCAAGTTGATATAGGTATTCATAGGAATGCGGAAGAAATGCTTCATGGGAATTAAAGACCTATAGGACATTACACTTTGATGTATAGGAATATGTAGGTTTACATAGAAGTTAGGACAGAGGAGATATACGTCATCCCATAGTAGCGTATAGGCATTTTCAATCCCCATAGGGCACCTCTCTTTACATACGCGCCTACTATATGTCAAACTATCCTACAGTATCCTACAGACCTTTTAGTTCTCATGAGGCATTTGTCCACATTCTTGTGAGTATCTCTATTACTCTATTTGCATTCCTATAAATGTCCTACGTATACCTATGCATACTGCGCAAATCCTATAGGTAACTACATAAACTCCTACTTAGAATCTTATAGTCCTCTATAGGAACCGATGAAAAAACCCATGAAGGATGCTAAGACATTATCGACAATTGATATAAATTTGCTATTATTAATTATTTATTAACATAAATATTTAGCTCATACATTATTAAATTCGTGGTTTTTTATTACATAAATATTTCATAAATAAATATGCTTGTAAAGCTTGTAAAGCTATAATATCCTATATATTGCAGAAAAATTACAATTTTTTCTCTGCAATTATTATCTCTGTTGATAATAAAACGATACACTGAAATCACAATTTTAAAGAAAAATCGAGTATTATTGAATTCTAAATGCATAAATACATCTACTAAATTAATAAATCATAAGATTAATATAATGTTATTAGTTTTTAATTTTTAATCATTTCAATATTCACAAGAACGCGAACTCCCATAAGGATGTTGGTCTTTAATAGTATCTCGTTGCTTTAACTTATTACACTGTCTGCGCCAGCTCAAATAGTACAGGAATAAAGAACAGATCTATTAATACGAATATATGTATAATATATAAATTGAATGAGTGATATCTACATCAGAACACTAAAAATTGATTATATATCGATTGAAGACCTTATTAAAAAAGAAGCGATTTTTTGTAAAGATATTTGATTAAAATAGTCCTATTTTAGTTGAAAAAATTGATTTTTCTTAAAATAGATTAGTTTAAAAAAAGATTTTTAGTATAATTGATAAATTATCGATAACGCACATCGATCATTCCTACAATATCGACATTCAAATATAGGCGGGAATTGCTAAAAAATGGCGGACCAATCAAAATTGGCTGTTTAGTGGCGCGACTCTCATTAGTTGCAACTCTCATGATGTTGTAGTCCAAAAGCTATCACAAGTAAAGCGGGGAGCACAGATTCTTGCATAATACATAACATGAGGCATAAGAAAATAAACCAATCAAAATGCTTTATTTTCTTCCTTTCTGTGAAATAAAAGACTCTGATTAGTTGATTTTTTTTATGCTTCATGTTTGCGTTATGTAAGAGTCTGTGCTTGCCTTGCATTTCGGCATGACGAGCCGTGGAATTTACAAGACTGAAAAAAAAATTACGGCGATCCACGCGCGATGTCCGTCACCGAGCATGACCATATATGGTCATATCGATCGCCAGAAATCCGCGCGGAAATAAAACACCGCGCATTTCTTTATATTCGACTGCCTAATCGCAGACCGAGGGGGGGAGTCTTTTCCGATACGTACACTTGTCACGTTAAGTCGGTTCTACATTAGTTGCAAGCTGATCGCAAGTTTGTTGCGACAGCCAATATGAAGCGTTGATTTCAAAATGCAAGCTTCAGATTGCAAGCAACAAACTTGCGATCAGCTTGCAACTAATGTAAAACCGGCTTTACGCACATCGCGAACGTCGAGTGTCCTATTACATTACGCAATATCGACCGTTTTAATTATTATCGCGAGCGCGAACGCCAAGATATAAGCCACGAATAGCCACGAGTGCTAACACAAAATACAAGCATTAATGTTCATACTAAACTATATATATATATATATATATAACAAAACAATTATAAAAAGTAATTAAAAAGGGAGATCATTTTAATAAAATTGTAAAAAGTGGTTAAATGAGTGTTTTTCTCGCCGTTTTCGTGCATCATTCCCAGCGCTTCTCATCCCAACCCTTTAGGTGAATCCCAAACCTTTAGACGGACCGAATCCCAAAATTACTTCTTGTTGCACCGAAAGATACAATAATAATCTCTAACCATAACCACCGACGAGATACTATTAAAAACCGTCGGCCCTGGGCAAATTTTCGTTACTATCAATGGGGCCCGGGGAGCCCGGGGATAATTGAAGAACGAAGATCTTACAATTAATAAAAGTTTATGATTATTAACATAAATATTTATCGATAATACATTAATAAATTCGTGATTTTTTTATTATATAAATAGTGTATAAATAAGTATGCATACTTTTAATGCTACAATATATTGCCGAAAAATTGCTCACAATTTTTTCTCTGCAGTTATCATCTATATTGATAATCAAACTCGGATGATAACATTAAAATCAATTTTAAATAAAAATCGATTATTATTAAATTTTAAACATATATACATGTTTACGAAATTAATAAATCATGAAATTAGTACTGTATCATTAGTTTTTTACTCTTAATCACTTAAATTTTAACA